GTTTTTCGGTAACATTTTACAACAACATCCCACGGTAATTCAATAAGAGAACTGGTATAAAGTCTCCTATAATATGGCATTTACGCTATCCCTAAAACACCCTATCCAATAATCCTAAGCCCTTACCACTCTAACCCTTATCCCTTAACTTATCTACCTTCTGGCTTCATCATTATATCAGTGAGATGGTTTCAAATTCTTATATTGTCATCCGATCTTTATATATACATAAAGTTTCAAATTGATACGAGAATAAGAAGAAAAAGAAAAAAAAGAAGAAAGTTCATGCCAAGATTTGTTACACGTGAAATTAATATAATAATAATATTCTCCCGATTGATTTCGACCACGGCGGTCAATCTCATTGAGACTAGCCATCTCCGCAGGAGATATAGTGCATAAGCGTGCGCGCAGACAAAAATGATCTCTCTATTCCTGTCACTCTCATACTGCGTTTGGACGACTGCTCGATACGACGGAAGAAGTAACAAGCATACACACATACAAACTTTCGCATTTATATAAGTAAGTTACAGACATTGTCACGTTAAAGCGTTAAAGCTTCTTATCTATACAGATAGATGTCGCTAGTATTTATAAACGATTTACTCTCGCTTTGCTTGGATGCGTCCCTAGGTATGTTTTATTTTTTTGAGCGGAACCCTAAAAATTTTTCTAAAATAAAAGTAGCGTAAGTTACTCCTTATAACATTAGATATCTGCCAGTGAAAGTCCCGTCAAAATCAGTCTAACCGTTTCAGAGATTAGCCGGAACGAACAGTCAGACAGACAGGTAGACAAACAAAATTTTTAAAAATTGTGTTTTTCTTATAAGTACCGTATATCATTTTTTTTTTATTTTATACGCATATAGGAAAAAGCTGTTATTTTGACCTCACAAACAGATACTCCAATTTTATTTATCTGTATAGAAAAATTGTAAATGTTGGAATTATATCACGTGTAAATTTTCAAGGACTACTGGTATTTACATGAATTAAAAAATATTTCTATAAATGGCACTACACATACTAATCTAAAGTATATATTATTTTGCGGAATCGCATAAGAAAAATAAACAAATTTGCTTTACTTAACTAGCAATAATCATCATTCTGTCTTCTAGATTAAAACCGTCTCGGGAGGCTGGCAGATGTGAAACATCGAAACTATTTTGTATAGAAAATATGTATGACAGTTGGACCCGCCGCATTAGATGTTTAACATCAATAATAGAAGGAGTAATGCATTTATGCAGGTGGTTATTTGGGATTCACCGGATATAAAAGCCAGTTCTACCCACTTAAACCCAACAGAACCTCACGAACCTTGCGCCTTGGCCACTTGACCATGATGCTTATGTCCGAGCGTGCCCAATTATCGACCATATTTTGCGTGGAATAATGCGAAAGAAAACCGCATGAAAATTCGAAAACACGCGTTTTCCCAGACATAAGACTAATCTAGATCGATTTATCGCCCCCGAAACCCTCTGCGTCCTAAATTTCATGAAAATGGTTGGAGCCGTTTCCGAGATTCAAATTATATATATATATATATACGGTGTGCTTTGCTTTGTATTGGCTGGCACCGACTTCGAAATTATTTGATTAGGTATGTATAGTAAATGAAAACTACCAATCAGTTATTTTTTACTTTTTAGTGCTTTTGTTTGAAGTCGGTTTTTATTTTTTTGTTAAAAAGTTTTTATTTTTCCCTTTTTAGTGTAGACAGTAGTAGCAAAGTAAGGATTCTAACATGTTAGGCTTGTCAAATCAAACAAAATAAGCCCAAACTCAAAGTATCTACTACTAGCCGTTGAAGAGTTCCACCTATCCACCTTCTGGCCTTGCCATCAGATCAGGTCAACAATACCGAGCCACTGTACTATCAACGGAAATAGAAACACTTGCAAAGTTTCAAGTCAATATGACAATTAGAAGTAGGTTAAATTCATCATTAGCTATTTTTCCACCCTTAGGGTTGGTATTTGCTTTTGAAATTTAAATGGGACCAATCTGGACGTATACCCTTTCAAAAAAAACAAGAATTGTCCAAATCGGTTAATAAATGACGGAGTTCTGAGGTAACAAACATAAAAAAAAATACAGCCGAATTGAGAACCTCCTCCTTTTTGAGGTAATCGGTTGAAAAAGTAACTTTCGTTGTCAATGTACTTGGCCTAAGGTAAGTACATAAATTTTAAACAAGTCTCCAAATTTTGATTCATTCTCAAAAATTTGTTCTTGTTTTTATAATAACTTAATGTGGCCTGTCTCTATTTAAAAACTCCAATAGGATCCCATCAAAAACGACTAAAGCCACATAGAAACAAATACATATTTATTGGTTTCTATGGGGTTTTTGTCGCTTTTGATGGGATTTTATTAGTGTTTTTCAACAGGAGTTGTGATAGAGGATTTGTGGGCTTACACATATTCACTTCTGTGGAATCAACAATTATTCGAGTATTGTCTGAATGTTCAAAGCTTTCTGGGGTATAGTATCGAACCAATTCTTGCATAGGCCATAATATTTCAACTAATGACCAAACTACCAAGTATCAAACATAAAATTTAGCCAGGTTACAAATACGAGTATATTTGACAGTTGACACTATAGACTTGCTGACACCATATATTTTTGTTAGTTCAAAATGACAATAAGTATGTTTAAATTTCATTAATTTTGATAGAAACTGGTCTTCCACACTTAGAGAGATTACATTACAATTAATAACACAGATTATAAGCCATTGGGCATAAAGTACTGGAGACAAATATTTTTTTTTATATTTTTCATATTTGATATTTTCGAAATTTCTCTTGAGGGGTGCTGCATGCCTCCACGTGCCCCCACAAAAAAACCCCTGTATTTAGTTAACTTCAAGGTGTTTGGATTGATCTGCGTCATTATTATACCAGTTAACAGCATACACGTCTAATTACTAAGTTCTAATTTTTTATTATTATTTATAATTTAATAGTCGGTATTTCTAAGTGAATCCTACTAATATTATAAACGCGAATGTTTGTTAGCATGGATGCATGTTTGTTACTCTCTCACGCCAGAACGGCTGAAAGGATCTGGATGTAATTTGGCACAGAGATAGATTTTAGTTTGGGATAACACATAGGTTGCTTTTTATCCCGGAAAAATATACGGTTCCCGTGGGATAGGTTTGTTTTTGTTTTCCTAGAGCCGAACCCGAGCGAAGTGAGAGTGAGCCACTAGTAAAGCTTATACAGTAGAGTAACATATACGTTATTATTTATCTATACATATAATAAAATTGTAACCAAGCCGAATCTGTACATTAGATATTTTGTGGAAAATCTTATTGAAATAAACATTATTAATCGATACAGAGGCCGAATCTATAGTTTTTACAGTTTTTGTCTGTCTGTCTGTCTGTTACCGCATCACAGAAAAACCACTGGAGGGATTTAGATGAAATTTGGTATGGTGATAGCTGATTATCCGGGTCAACATATAGGATACTTTTTATTATTTATACGCGGGAAAATGTCTCATTTCTGAGAAAAAATACAAAAACTGCAATGTAAGAGGATCTACACCTAGTACAGGGGCCCTTGCGACTAGCTGGGAATATAATCTTTAAGTCAATAAAAGTATTTTTTTTTATGTAAGAGTGTACTAATATGTAAAATCTAAGAATTAGGTTTTTGGTCATCTGACCGCGGGCGGAGCCGCGGGCAATGCTAGTTATTCATAAAGATATAGTAGGTACTTGGTGGTAATACATAACAGGACTACGCGCCTGGATTCGCGGAAAAAACTACTTTTATATATGTGATGGTCTGATTTCAAAATGTTACAAGTATGTATTACATATAAAAAAAATATATAATTTTTTACTTTGTACTGTTTATTATTTTTAGAGTTTATTATTTGTAGTGTTTATTAGTTTTTAAGGCATATATGTTACGGGCGTCTATTTACATATTTTAAGATCTTTTTGTAAATATTGCCTGAAATAAATGATTAAAATTAAAAAAAAATATATTTTTTTATTATTTTTGCATTGGTTTGTGCATTTTGGAAGTTGTTATGTTAAATTTTATAACATCTATATATTTTGTTATATAAACTTAACAAGATATTAATTATAGTGCATTACTTAATGTCCCACAGTTAAAGAACAATCAATTAGCTAGCAATAACATTTTATGTTCGCATACCAATAAAAAGCTAATCAATTTATGTTATGTGATAATTTATGAATAAACATGTGTATATATTTATAGAATTACTAGCGACTCGCCCTCGCTCCGTTCGGGTTCGTCCCTACTTACGTTTTAACGTTTAGTATAGATTTCTCAGAAATGAGATATTTTCCCGCATTTATAAGTGTTCTGTGTTGACTGGAATAACCAGCTCTCATCAAACCAAATTTCATCAAAATTCCTCCAGTGAGTTTTCCGTGATGCGGCCACAGACAGACAGACAAAAATTCTAAAAACTATAGATTCGGCCGTTGTATCAATAATAATGTCTATTTCAATAAGATTTTCCAAAAAAATGTTTCAAGTACCTACAGATTCGGTTTAGTTACAATTTTATTATATGAATAGATGTATAGGTAGGTAACTTGCCATACGGTGAAGGAAAACATCGTGAGGAAACCTGCATGTCTGAGAGAACCTAGCAAGTTTCGTTCGCACTTGGCACTTGCCACCTTGGTGGACTATGACTTAAATCTTCTTGTATTGAAAGGCCATCGCTGCCCACTAGCAGAAGTGGGACGATAAAAAGGGCTGTGTACAAACATAGAAATAACGTCTTTGTTTTATTACTTTTCTGAGATAAAAGAAAATAGTTTTACCAACTAGTTTTCGACTGTGGTTCCATGGGCATATCTTTCTTTGAGGGAGGCTCACTCTCAGCAGTGGGACGTTAAAAAAGGCTGAATACAAATGGCTAGGCTCAATAACAGAGGCCGCCATGATTAAAAATTTAATAGGACATTATTTCCTTACCTGATATTGTTGCAGGGACTATCCGGCCAATACGGTAGATGATCGAGACCATTCAGTTTATTCAGATAACCAAATTTCGCCATATCTTGTCCGGTATAAATCGTAGAAACTTCCTCTAATGTACCGTTTCTCTTGAAATAAAACAAAAATATGGTAAAAATAGGTTTTTTGTATTAAACTAGTTGTGACACACAACTTCGTTCGTGTAAATTTCATAATTTATGAAGACATGTGACATATAGAATAAAAATCAGAAATGAGGATATATTGCTAATTCTAAGTTTTTACTTTTAAAAAGGTGTATAGATCTTTTATGGAGCAAAGAGGGCTTAAATAAAATTCCATACGCAATATTCTGCATGCCATTTTAACAGTCAAAATCCTTGAAAATATATTTATCTACTAGCGGCTTACACACGCTTCGCTTGAGTGCATCATAAGGTACGTGTTAATTTTTTTGAACAGAATCCTAATTCTTTTTCTAAAATAAAAGTAGCCTACGTTACTACTTATAACATCAGCTATTTTCAGTGAAAATATAGTCAAAATCAGTCCAGCCGTTACGGTGATTAGCCGGAACAAACAGACAGACAGACAAAAATTAAAAAAAATGTGTTTTTCTTAAAAGTCCCTTAGATACCTTCATATGCATTTAGTAAAAATCGGTTATTTTGACATTACAAACAGACACTTCAATTTTATTTACCTGTATAGATTCAAGAACATTTTTTTTAAGTTAATTCAAAATAATAAATCTTTGATGTTCATGAAAAGCCACGACATAAGTGTTATACTAAAAGATACACCGACTTCGACATACCCATAAAAATACAAACGAATTAATTTCAAAAAGGAAGAGGTGAATTGATTTGCATAATTCTTGCCTTTTCTAAGCTACTACCACTTCCCATGAGTTTGACCGCGTTCAAACTTCCGATCGCTACCAAACCTCACAGGATCATCCGCTGGGCTAATCTGAAGATTGCCTGATTTCATCAAAATTGCTCCAGCCGTTTTGGAGTACATAGAGAACATACATACAAGTTTTATATAAATTAAAAAAAAACAAACAATATTAGTCCTAACGGTGATAATTATAATTTTGATGTCAGCGTACCATTTTTGTTGAAACTTTTTTACTACATGGAAACTGAGAAAATGGTAAACTTCATTTTGTTCTCCTCAAACTTTCTCCAGAATTAATATGGATTACTGAATACTTACAGCGAGCAAGAGTCCCATTTGGCTGTTTGGTCGTTTTCCTTTCGGGTAGAAGTAGTGTGCAAGAGTGACCAGCGGGTCATTGTAGCTGAAACAAATAAAGTTTTGTGGTCGAAGATGGACCATAATTTATTAAGTTTGAACATTGTTATGTCGTTTCGTTAAACTTACAAAAGTCGCCTGTAATCTTCTTCAATAAATATATTATAACGCAAAAAGACTTTCTCATCGGATCTGCAGTTTCAGAGATTAGGCGACATCCATTAATTACGTGAGCTCAAAATGACGGAGGGAGGGTTTACTAAATCTCATTAAATCTCATTCAAACTGAGGGAGTCATGATTGAAAATCTCAAGTCAACTTCAAAAGAATTTATTTATTTATTATAAAGGCTTACTAACTAAATTTACATAAAACATGTATTTAATATTATAATGTTACCTATTTATGTATAAATTTAATTGAAAAGTATGCACAGTTTTTTATAGAAGTATTCCAATAAAATTTTATGTATATTATAGAGGTAACAAAAAAATATGTTTTTTTTTCTTTTGTAAGTGTCCCATTTTTCCCGCTGAAAAAATCTCTTATTATAAAAAAAATATTTCGAGAGTCTGGAACGTTGTATTATTTTTAACAACTGTAGCGTAAATTTCACGCGAGGGTGAGAGGGGGTCCCACCAAATCTCACTAAATCTCATCAAGGAGTTGGGTCTAAATTATGAGAAAAACTGCTCATGAAATTAATAGGTGTCCCCTTAGCAAGTACAGATAACTAAACAAAGTCTTCAGCTCTTTATATTACGATTTGAAGAAGATATAGGCTTGTGTAACACCACGTTGTTGCTTTTGAAACAGGATAATTAAATAAATATAAATAAATATGTTGGGACATTAACACACAGCACCATCTAGTTCCATGGTAAGCTACGAGGCTTATGTTATGGATACCAGATAGTCGACATACTACACATATATAACTTTAAATACATACATATTGTAAATATAAACAAACACCCATGACTGGAGTACAATCATTCGTGTTCATCACACAAATTAATACCCCAGCGGGACTCAAACCCGCCACCGCTGGCACAGCAAGTAGCTGAGCCAAACGTGTCTTCGAATATTATACATAAATAAATTATATAATATATATTATAATAATTATACATAAATAAACTACGTGTAAAATAAATTTTGCTTTCGACCGTCCTTTTCCATATAAAAAATTATGCCAAAGCCTTCGTACACGTGGTAAACTTCAAATGGGAACAAAGTTGTCTAAATATGGTCATAGCTTCTATTTTACCCGATTTCTCCAAAAAGGATTATATTATTATTCAAGATGTACATCATACATCGTGCATCCTTATAACTTCGTTACGCTCTGTAGCCTTAAGTGCTTTTGACGTACGTGTCGTCTTAATTGTGGGAATATTATTCTAATGAACAAATAAGACCTATGGGAATCAAAAAAAAAATTGGAATATATGATAAAAAAATATGGAAATAATTTTTTTATTTTATTTTATTGTATAAGATGTAATTTTGTATATAATGTTATAGTAATAAATTTTTTCATTTGAATGATTTATTCATGTTGGAAAAATCCAGCCAAAATTATAGTTAAGTAAGATAAAATAAGTTTTTACTGCCAATGCTCTATTATATAATTGGTTTGAAAAGATCTCCAAAAAATCGAAGGCATCCTCTAGGGTTTACTGGTACATGGTACAATCATACTCTCAAGTACTTCAGATCAAGGGTAGCTTGGTATATTATGCAGTACAATAGTAGATTAACCCCTAATGGCAAGGGGTAGACGATATGCGTAGACGAAAAAACATTCGAAAGGCTACTCACCCAAAAACCAATTCCTCTGCAGTAACTTGCACAAACGGCTTAGCCCTATCTCTGTACGTGATGGCTAGACCAGAAACTAAAAGGTTGAAGAGCCATCCTGCGAGGTTCGTGGAAAAAGAGGTGACAGTCTGCAAGAGATATACTGTAAATGATTTATATTTTTTACAAAATTACATTAAAATACGCTTAGTAATTTATTTACTAAGAGTAATTCGGATTTTGGTATTTTGTAAGATTTCTTAAGTTAGACTTAGCACTACTTATGTGTGAATTAATTCTTGGCTAAGACAAAGTATAGAATTTTTAGGTTACATTAGCCAAAAGTGAGAGTTCTGAAGGTCCCTCTGTCTTCCTCACTTTTTTCTACTATTCCATTTCCCCTTCAGCCCATCAGGCGGTATTTATTGAGTGTTGCCCCTAATATAGTAAGATTATTTTTTAGACTTTGCTTCTAAGAATTACCTCAAACTTACCCCAATTTGATCACGTCGCATTATATAGTGCGAGGTATTAAATTAATCATGATGTAGATAATTGATGATCTAAAACCAACCCCTACAATAGTACGGATTGGTTTTAGACTTGGCCCGAAAAAGACAAAACTTTGTTTAACTGTTACACTGTCTTAAGATAAGTGGTGGCAAAACTCATCTAATTTCCCAATTCAATTTGAAATGTTGTACCAAAAGAGATGATAACTTACCAATAAAGGAATATTAGGAATCACAAGTTTCTGCGTTTTATCTACAGATAGTTCTGGTACGAATCTTAAAATTTTGTTATGTTGGTACGTCACAGTATCGTTGTCGTGGAATTTGATGTTCACTTTTTCCATGTCTTCTCTGAAACAAAACAAACGAAAAACTTTTAGAGCAAAGGTATAGCAGTCATATTTTTGTAATATTTACAAATTAGTTATACATACTAGGGTGTGCCAAAAAACGACGATATTTTTTTTTCTTTGCTCTCACCCCAAAATATATTAGAAAATGTCCTAAAAAAGCTCCTAGTAAAAGCGGAACACAAAATTCCAATTCTAAGAGGTTCTCCATTGAATTTTAAGTTTTCCCATACAAATTACATGGAAAACATGGGTTTTAATAATTTTTTGTCCTGCAAACTGTGACAAAAATATTTTTCAAAAAAATGAACCTTTTTTAGTATTAAATTTACTACAAAAAGTTCCATTGAGTCGAATTTCTATCTTCAATATTTGATTTGTTATATAGCTTTGAAGTTCAAATTTACGTTTTTTTTTGTATTTTTTAAGCTAAACTATAAGAGTTAGAGAAAATGTTAAATGGCAAATTTGTAGTATGTTTAAAATCCTATAAAAAGTATTTGTCAACTTTTTCATATCATCAATAACAACAAAGTTACAGGCTCACGAATATTTAATTTTTCAAATATTTGCTTTTACGAACTGAAATATCGATAATTAAACAAAAAATTTGGTGCAAATTTGCAATTACATCAAATTTGCAACAACATTGGTTAGGTCAGATATTTTGTATTATCAATAGTTAATAGTTACAGAGTTAGGATCACCGAAGCCACTACATTCGTTTTGATAGACCACAAATTTTCGCGAAAGATAACTGTTATGGCTCTAGTCATCCACTGAAGACGGAAGATGGCTGGGTATCGTCGTGGGATGTTATCAGGGCTCGCTTTTCGGTTTTTTCGGCTTTCGGCTTTTCGGTTTAAGGTTTTGGTTAGGTTCTTTAACCGGTTAAATCCTGGAGAACGGTTTTTAACGAATTTAGGTTTCATGATAATCAAAATTAATCGGTTAAAATGAGTATTGCTGAGAGGATTGCTTAGTAAAAAGATATATGTACGTTTGTTACTTATGAATGAATTAACCGATTATTTCGGTATCAAAATCGAAATCCAAATTTTGTCTAAAAATAAATGTTAATAATTATAATTTCGGTTTACTAAACCGGTCGTTTTCAATAACCGGTTAAAGAACAAGCGATGAATTAACTATTAAATTATCGATATAAACCGTCTTTTTTAACCGGTTCCAAGCCCTCGATGTAATAAGATCTAAAAATAAAAATATTAGTTCTTAATGTATAGACTATAATAATAGACCTAAATGAAATAAATTACCTATAATTTATAATTTTAAATTATATAAATATTGCATCTAGCATAATTAAATAGAATCATTCATATCAAAAAAAAAATTAAAATCTTGAAAGTGTAAAAATTAGAAAAAAATACCAGCTGAAATTAAAGAATTTCAAATTGTTAAACTACGAGTATGTAACACTAATTAGTATTAATTATTAAAATTGTGAGGTATTTTTGTTGCCATTTTTCTTTTCTTTAAAATTAATGTATAATTTTGTGGGTAGATACCGTCTGTATCAACTATATTGACCTTTGAGATGTCTAAAACCTTAGTCTCTCCCGTGAGTCGTGACCATGTGCGCTGTAAAGCATTCGAAACGTCGGGAACCAAAAATCCAAATAAATCCGCGAAAAAATCCGAAAAGATAGTTTTATTTAAAATCTATAGTATTTGCGTAGATCTAAGAAAGTATTATGAATACTAGCCCGTTGGGCAAAATGTTGGCAAGTATACATATTCCAATTATTGTGTTTTTCCGTGGGAATGAAAAATTTTCCTGTAGTAAAAGGTATCCTAAATGTTAACCCGAGTAATAAGTTGGGCTGCAGTTTAGAATTGGGGACGTGGCCCCTGGCGGAGTGGGTGGTATTTCTGGATAAGGGACGTGATAGGGAGTCGAAATGTTAAATAAAATTTTTTAATACAACAAAAGAGTCAAAAGTTATTGAGACTTAAAGTTATAACATTTCCATACATTATTTTGACATTACTACCATTTAGACACTTGGAGTCAAAACGTCACTTTCAATTGTCAAAATGATCTCTTCTTTATTTGTACTTTGCGTGAAATTCGAATTTTCTAGTTTTCTAGTCATTTGTGGCAACTGTTCTAACCTAACCTAACCAAGATATGACGAATAATTAATAAATAATCTTAAATGTTCTAACCTAACCTAACCCAGATATGAGGAATAATAAATAAATAATCTTAAATGTTCTAACCTAACCTAACCCAGATATGACGAATAATAAATAAATAATTAAATTAATTCACAGATAAAAAAATGATTTTTATTACTAAATGTACAATTGTAAAACAATATATTTTACATAAATCAAATAAAAAGTCATAAATGTATTTATAAAGTGAAAATAATATTTTTCTTTTTATTTATTTATTTATTAATATTAATATTTTACCAACAGAAAAAGCAAAAATAATCAAATATAATCTGTTGTCATTTAAGCGGTAATATAAAACAAAGTGTCAGTTTTGCTTTTGTCAAAATGTAAGATCATTTTGTTTGTGTTGTGAAATTATTAAAAAATTAAATACAATAAAGCATTAATTGTTGTGAAAATGTGTAATGTACATAAAAAAGGATGCGTACTATTCGTTAAAGGTATGTTTATCTGTTGTAATCACTTATTTAGGTAAAGAAATGTATGGAAATGTGTTAGATATGTTATAACTTTAAGTCTCAATAACTTTTTACTCGTACGTTTTCTCCAAATATTTTTAATATATTTTGACTCTCTGTCACCTCCCCTATCTAAAAATACCACCCACTCCGAATGGTGGTAAAGAAATATATGAAAATGTATGGAAATGTTGTAACTTTAAGTCTCAATAACTTTTGAATCTTTTGTTGTATTAAAAAAATTTATTTAACATTTCGACTCCCTATCACGTCCCTTATCCAGAAATACCACTCACTCCGCCAGGGGCCACGTCCCCAATTCTAAACTTGTGCCATAAGTTGTTATATATATGAGATATGAGATGTTAGATATATGAGTATATAGTTGTTATTATCATGTATGAACTATATTATTGTACAGTTTTATTAAAATCGAATTAGTAGTTTTTGTGTTCTAAGCTGTATAAGTTTCTATAGTTTTTTAACTATCCCACGGGAACTATTTAATTTTCCGGGATAAAAAGTATCTAAGATGTTGCCCGGGGATATAAGGTACCACCATGCACAATTTCGTTTAAATCGGTCCAATAGATTCGGATATTAGCCCGTATTTAGACAAACAGACCGAGAAACAAATAATTTTGAACAAAAATCTGGATTTGTTCTATTTGTCTTCTTACATCCCTCTGACTCGGTTTTTAGCATTTTTTTGCTATGAACAGACATTCGACCTCTACTCTTTTATTATAGTATAGATACACTAGCATTGCCCGCGGCTCCACCCGCGTTCAGATGACCAAAAACCAAATTCTTAGGTTTTACATATTAGTATACTCTTACATTGCGGTTTTTGTATTTTTTCTCAGAAATGAGATATTCTCCCGCGGTAAAAAGTATCCTATATGTTGACCTGGATAACCAGCTACCACCATACCAAATTTCATCAAAATCTGTCCAATGGTTTTCTCGTGATGCGGTAACAGACAGACAGACAGACAGACAAAAATTCTAAAAACTATAGATTCGGCCTCTGTATGTGTGATATCTATTTCAATAAGATTTTCCAAAAAATATTTAATGTACAGATTCGACTTAGTTACAATGTTATTATATGTATAGATATATAGATAAGATAAGTAAGAAAGTAACTAGCATGTTGCTAGTATGTAAACAGATGTTTGATGGCTGAAAGACTTTCATTATCATTTAATTACCTAAAATAATTGAAAAATTGCAAAAAATATAAAAAAAAAAACGTTGGAAAGTAAGAAAAATGACGATGATGCTTAATTACTACAATTAATTTAATCACAAAATCTCCATCCTGTAGAAAGTTTGCTAGGCGGGTCTTTAAAATCCATACTAATATTATAAATGTGAAAGTGTGTTTGTTTGTTTGTTTGTTTGTTTGTTTTTTTTTCTTTTTTTCACGTCGAAACAGAGTGACGGTTTGGCGTGATTTTTTGTGTGGAGGTAGTTGGAAGACTGAAGAGTGACATAGGCTACTTTTTGCCGCGGAAGATTATCTCATTCCGACGCGAAAATACATTATAATACAACCAAATTGGTATTAAATCTCTTCAATACAATTAAATAAATAAATGTTTTTAGCTTTTTTCGAAATTCATCTCATAAGGGGGCAAAATAGGGGATGAAAGTTTGTATGAAACCTACCTTTTTACTTGTTTTTGTAGTTTAGTACGAGCGAAGCCGCGGGTTCTGCTAGTACTTCTATATTTTGCACTTTTTTTAGCAATCGAATAAAATTCAGGCAAGTGCGAATCTGACTCGCATATAGAGGGTTCTGTAGCATGAAATATTTATGTTATAGTTATTGTAAGCGTAAGTTGAAAAGTAAAGTAAAAAAGTGTTAAAAGTAAAGCAAAAAAACCTATTATTATAATAATTATATTTTTTTAAAATGTTTAGTAATAAAAATCAACAAATATTGTAAGGTACTTTGGTGCCATTTTAGAATTTTTGAAATCATTTTTGTAAAATAGTGGGTAGGCACTGTCTGTAACAAGTATGTGTTTGAGACGTCTTTAACCTCAGTCTCTCCCGTGACCATGTGCGCTGTAAAGCATTCGAAACGCCGGGAACCAAAAATCTAAATAAATCCGAGAAATAATCCGAAAAGATAGTTTTATTTAAAAAAACCATTTACAATATTAATTTTATTGACGCTATAAGTAAAATATTTAATAGTATTTCTATGGGAAAAAAGGTAATTTTACGGCCGAACGTATGGTGTCGAAAATATAATAATAAACAACAACAACAATTTTTTAAATGTTTCCACCTCATACTTTAAAAGCTAGAGTGGGCGATGAAAAATCAGAGATTCGACATCCGGAATTGAACCCGCTTCAGTCGGTTTTTCACGCGAGCACGCTATCAATGGTATAACTATCTCCTCAGATTCCTTCGTGGATTTATTTATTTTTTGCTTTTACAGCAATCGATGTCACGGGAGACTTGAGATTTTAGTTTATAGGGTTCCGTGGCTGAAGGGTGCCAACGGAACCCTATTACTAAGTGTCCGCTGTCCGTCCGTCTGTCAGAGGGCTGTATCTCATGAACCGTAATATGTAGATAGTTGAAATTTTCATAGAGAGTGTATTTATTTCTATTGCTGCTTTAACAACAAATTAAAAAAAAATCTGAAACATTTTTTTAAGGTTCGTAATCGATCATGGAAGTTAATATACTACATACTCGTACATAGAGTAAAATACATATTTATAAAAACTACATGTGCGATGGTACGTAACCCATCGTGTGCGAATTCGACTCGCACTTGACTGATTTATTAGGTTTTGTGTTGCCATTAAAGAAACCAAAAAAATTCAAATATTAATTTAATTATAATCATTAGTTTAATTTTATTTCCAAGTCCTCATTGTTATTTCGCAATTAAAAATATGATAAAATTTTTTGGACAATCCTTTAAATAGGGTACAAAATAACTTTTAAAGTTTTATATATACAATGAGTTTGTACGTTTTTTCAGGGTCACGATGAAAACAAAATTTAGCTTCGAGCGCTATACATAAATAAATTTGAAGGTTATGAAGGCTAAAATTCTACTCAACTGGTGATCGAATATCCACAACACAACACCACTGTATGAATTGAAATTACCTATCTATACATATCTATACATATCTACCTATAATAAAATTCTGTGTTGAATTTCTACCTACTTTAAATATTTTTTGTAAAATTTTATCTAAATAGTCATTATTATCGATACAAAAGCCGAATCTATAGTTTTTAGAATTTTTGTGTGTCTGTCCGTCTGGGAAAGCATCACGAGAAAACCACTGGACTGATTTTGATGAAATTTCATATGATGATAGCTGGTTATCCGGGTTAACATATAGGATGATTTTTACTGCAGGAAACTATCTTATCTGTAAAAAATGTATACTAAATGTAAAACGTATTTAGGGATGAACCCGAGAGGAACGAGGGTGAGCCACTAGTCCAAGTATAACAAAAACCAACAGTTCCTTAATTTTTTAATAATAACACTCGTTAATAGCTACTAAATATTGGTGGTTTTCTCTTGATGCCGTCACAGACAGACAGACAGACAAAAATTCAAAAAAACTATAGATTCGGACTCTGTATCGATAATAATGTCTATTTCAATAAGATTTGCCAAGAAATATTTAATGTACAGATTCGACTCAGTTACAATTTTATTATATATAGATTGTGTTCTTGATGTCAACAAGATACTTGTAAGGTTAACATTATAATTAAATAATTCCGTTATTAAAATCCAGATTACGCAAGCCAAGGTCTAAAACTTCTGAGACACGAGTAAAATATTCTTTATTAACCTTATGGTAAATAAAATATACAAAATGTGCCATTTATCCTTGTTTCAATCGAGTACGTCCCTAGGTGACTAACATATTCTATATTTTCCTCCAGCTCTATCTATCTGTGTGATAAATTTAATCCAAATAAGACCAGCCTTATCAGCGTAAAGTTGAAAAATTGTTAAAAGTAGTGTCATTTGTACCAACTACTCGTAGAAGTCTCACGGGAATTGTGCGTTAAATTACAATTCAATTCAATTCAATTATCTTGTTAATGTCTTTAAAGCATGCCAGTTGAGCCCAGATTACTTCGCTAATAACTTCCTTGGTGGTCAAGTGGCTTACATGTAGGGCCGCAGATCCGAAGGTCCTGGGTTCGAGTCATGGGTCGGATCAATTTTAATTATTGAATATTTTTGTCAATTTTCAGTAACACGTGTTGGGAAGTTGACGGTGTTGCACACTCGTGCCTCGAAGAACACGTAAAGCCGCCAGTCCTGCGTCTTAACTCTCACTGGTCGTGTCGTTAAGTATCGTCCCACCGGAGTATGGGAGTGACAGGAATAGAGAGTGCACGTTGTGTCTACGCGTACACTTGTGTAATATAATATCTCCTGCGCAGTTAACTAGTCAGAGTAGACATTGATATATTACTTCGCCAATGTCACGTAAAATGGAGAAGACACTAACTCTCTCACACACAAACACACTATCATTTTTTTTTTAGAACATTAACGTCTAAATTATAGGATAAGTAAAAAAAATCGTTCTCACCTATAAACAAAGGGCCCAACTTCAACCAATTTTGGTTTTTCCCCATTTTCAAGGAATCCATGCGGATTCGTCATATTGAAGATGTAGACTTTTGTCAATCTTATCACACCAGGTTTTTGCCAGTAACTGTAGCTTAGTGATCCGTTCCATAACCTTAACTCCTGGAAAAAGAAAATAAAAACTATCCTTAAATTAATTTACAAAACTTGGTGTTAACTTATTTAACTATTTATATAAAAAACTAGCATTGCCCGCGGCTCCGCCCGCGTTCAGATGACCAAAAACCAAATTCTTAGGTTTTACATATTATTAGTATACTCTTACTTTGCAGTCTTTGCATTTTTTCTCAGAAATGAGATATTTTTTCGCGGTAAAAAGTATCCTAAATGTTGACCCGGATCAACAGCTATCACTATACCAAATTTCATCAAAATCCCTCTAGTGGTTTTTTTGTGATGCGGTAACAGACAGACAGACAAAAATTTTAAAAACTATAGATTCGGCCTCTGTATCGATAATAATGTTTATTTCAATAAGATTTCCCAAAAAATATTTAATGTACAGATTTGGCTTAGTTACAATTTTATTATATGTATAGATAGAGATTGTCTGTTTTTTGAATAAATAAGTTGATACTGGGACGGACATAGGACACGTTTGATTCCCGTCCTACTCCCTACGCGAGCAAAGCCACGGGCAAAACTAGTAAAATATAATTATTATGTTGAACGGTCCCCTCGTACTCCTCCAGGTTGCGCGGACATTCGTCAAATATTTAATTGGCCATATTATATATAAGTTAAAAGCTTAATTTGCCACATTTGCGATTCATCAAATCAGTTAAAGCTTTTCTGGTCAGTAGTGTACTCTTTGTAATGTCAAAACAACAGCTTTATATTTAATGGATATGAAATTATACTCGTATGTATACCTACTGTACATATAAGAGAACACATTTTTTCTTAATTTTTGTGTGTATCCGTCTGTTTGTTTCGGCTAATCTCCGAATCGGCTGGACCAATTTTGACGGGACTTTCACTGGCACATAACCGATGTTATAAGGAGTAACTTAGGCTACTTTTATTTTAGAAAAAGAATTAGGGTACCGCTGAAAAAATTAAAATGTACCTAGGGATGCACCCGAGCGAAGTGAGGGTAACTCGCTAGTCCTACTAATATTACATTTGTGAAAGTTTGTGAGGATGTATAGATGTTACTCTTTCATGCAAAAACTATTGAATACATTCTAATTAAACTTTTAAATAATATAGCTTATACGAAACACACATAGGCTACTTTTCATCCCGGAAAAAATGTACGGTTCCCGTGGGATACACTTGTTATATATTAAATGTTAAATATATGTAAAATATTTCGAATTACAAACAAATGATTCAATTTGTTAAGTTCCTTCCCTTATCTCCGCATTTCAACATCATACCTTTTGAGAATTTATGATGCTTTTTAGGAGTAATCTTGAGGGATAATTTATAAAATACTAGCGAAACCCGCGGTTTTGCTCGCGCTAAAACTACAAAAAACATCTTTAAAAAGGTAGTTTCATACAAACTTTCATCCCCAATTTTACCCCCTTATATGATAAATTTCGAAAAATACTTTAACATTTATATAATTTTATTGAAGAGCAATAATACCAAGTTTCAAGTAATTCTGATCATAAATATTTTTTTGGATTGTATTATAACGTGATTTCCCGTAGGAATTACATAATCTCCCGCGATAAAAAGTAACCTATGTCACTCTCCAGCCGTCCAACTATCTCCACACAAAAAATCACGCCAATCCGTATCTACGTTTCAACGTGAAAGAAGGACAAATAAACAAACATACTTTCACATTTATAATATTAGTAAGTATGGATATTGTTTTTTTAACTTCAAAATGTATAAAGCATTCAAGTTTGTGATACTATAAAGTAATGGTACCATGGAGTTAGTCAAGAAATGGACTTGGTAACTTACTTGAATTACTCTGATAAAAATATTTTTTTAAATAATATCTCTCATAAAATAACCTTTAAACGAGCAATTCTTGTATATTTATTAATTTATTTATTTATACCGGCGATCTCGGAAACGGCTCTAACGATTTCGCTGAAATTTGGTACGTGGAGGTTTTGGGGAGCGAAAAATCGATATAGAATAATCTTATGTCTGGGAAAACGCGTGTTTTCGAGTTTTCATGCGGTTTTCTTTCGCATTATTCCACAAAAAATATGGTCGCTAATTCGTAGCGTAAAGACAAGCGGCCAAGACGCGAGATTGACAAACACGGGTAACCGGGTTCGAATATCGGTCCTATATAAAGTTTTTACTTTTGTTTTTTTGTGTTGATTCAAGTTTTTAGATATTTTTTTAATCTAAAAAATATGATATAACAAAAAAGAACTCTGTGCGAAGCTCGGTCGTATACTTTTAAGTGTTAATATCATACTTACTCTAAATATTATGTAGTCTAACCACGGCACAAAGGAGAGTATGACGCCAAGTACCACTGTGCATATGCTGAATGTTATCACTGCGAGACGACCTGCAACAGACAGACAAAATATATTAATATAAAATTATATTATACTAGCATTGCCCGCGGCTCCGCTCGCGTTCAGATGACCAAATCCCAAATTCTTAGATTTTACATATTAGTATACTCTTACAATGCAGTTTTTGTATTTTTTCTCAGAAATGAGATATTTTTCCGCGATAAAAAAGTTTTTCATCCAAATTTCATCAAAATCCCTTCAGTGGTTTTTCTGTGATGCGGCAACAGACAGACAGACAGACAATAACTCTAAAAACTATAGATTCGGCCTCTGTATCGGTAATAATGTTTATTTCAATAAGATTTTCCAAAAAATATTTAATGTACAGATTCGGCTTAGTTACAATTTTATTATATGTATAGTACAGTGTTCACCTAGAGATTGACATTTGACCATAATTATTTTATTTAAAGCTCGTCAAAAGCTACGAAACAAATAAAAAAGAAAATCGTTTGACAAATAGAGGAGAAAAAGGTACTCAACTGTTTTGTTTTTGTCTATTTATATATAGAGAGATACAGGCTATTATATACAGAGAAGCAGTGGTAGCCCAGTGGTAAGGCGTTCGCTTGGGAAATCGAGTGAAGCGGGTTCAAATCCCGTGTCTCGCACCTCTGATATTTTCATGTGCGAATCATTTCCAACATGATCACCACTTGCCTTACGGTGAAGGAAAACATCGTGAGGAAACCTGCATGTCTGAGAACTTAGCAAGTTTTCAAAAGACATGCTCAGTCCGCCCGCACTTGGCCAGCGTGGTGGACTATGGCCTGATCGTATTGAAGGGAGGCCCATCCCCAGCTGTGGGACGTTAAAAAGGGTTGAACTAAAATAATTGACCATACAATCATTTACCATTTTTTTACATATGTTTTGTATATATAATTAAGTATATTTGTAATTTTCTTTTTTGTAAATAAAGATTGACATCTTATCTTGTATGCCAAATGGACATTAAAAAAAATTGACCATTATGATTATTTATTACAAAAACAAAAAAGTCACATGCCAAATATAGACTGACACATTAAATGCGAACTAAAAAGATAAAAACAAGATTTTGGTTTTGAGCTCCCAAATTATTTCCATCCCAATCCCAAATTATTTTTAACATATAAGTTGTTGCTTTGTATTCTACTGAATATTTTTGGAATCACCTGTTGTTTTGTTGGGACCTTCGTTTTCGTGTCCCACTTATTAGTTTCATAAGAAAAAAAAGATGGTCCAATTCATCTCTACATTCCGTTATTTTGAGTTTTTTTATAATGTTAATATAATAATAATGTCCGCCTGACCGATTTGGACCACATGGCCAATCTCATTGAGACTAGCCAACTGCGTAGGGGATATTACAGTGCGTGTGTGAATGTACACGCAGGCATAAATGCACGCTCCATACCTTTTCCTTTAAAATTCCTATAGGACGATACTTAGATACGACCGGTGAGGTTTATGGCGCAGGACCGAGCGACACGTGTTCTCGGAGGCACGGGGGTAAACCACCACCAATTTCCCAACTCCAGGCTACTACTGAGAAAATCTTAATAGAAAAAGTCAGTAACTAAACTTGGCCTGACCCGAAACTCGAACCCAGACCCTCCGGTTTGCAGCCGTACATGCTAGCCACTAGACCACCGAGGCATTTAATGTATATACCTCCTATGACACTCGCATTATTAAACCGAAACTAATGAAGTATGTATGATCAAAATCGGTTCATTCATTAAGGAATTACGAGAGAATGATCTATCACACATAACCCTCCGTATAATAAATCAGGGAAAAAAACCTATGTTCAAGGATAACATAGCTTTCTATTAGAGAATATAATTTTAAGTACCATCAATCCAGAGATTATCCTCCAAAATTAAACACACATTTTGTTTTCTATAAAAGTAAGAGAAAGCTGTAATTTAAAGCAAGACCTAAATATGATCATAAAGAAGCTAATCGAAACCCTTTACTGATTGTAGAATTGCTACAATGGAAAGATGCGGTAACAGACAGACAGACAAAAATTCTAAAAACTATAGATTCGGCCTGTGTATCGATAATAATGACTAGATTTAAAAGAAATATATTTAATGTACAGATTTGGCTTACTTAGAATTTTATTATACGAGTATGTATAGATGTGAAAGTTTGTGAGTATGAATGTTTGTTACTCTTTCACGCCAGACTGTCTGTACGGATCTGCATGAAATTTGGCACAGAGATAGATTTTAGTCTGGAATAATACATAGGTTACTTTTTATCCCGGAAAAATGTACGGTTCCCGTGGGATAGGTTTCTTTTTGTTTAAGCTAGTAAAAATATATTAAAGCGATAAATTTATTTGTAATTGTCCCACATATTTTTACATTACTACTATGATTATTCACAGCTACTTCACCAATAAGGGATTGTGGGAAGTCTACATGCTCAAAGTCCCGGGACACGAGACCATCCACAATCAAAGTCGCGGGACTTCCTGGGACTTCAAGACTTGTCATAACAAAATTAGGGTCGAGTTAATATTTGGCGAGATGTATTAATAAAAAAGCAATTTTAGTAAAAATCTACATTTATTGACCATAAATTCAAATTCGAACACCTATAACGTCAATTTTCTCAACAATTATCTAAAATAATCTAAACAATTTGTATATTTAATTTTTATGATCACAGATCCAGTTTTTGGTAAGAAAATCTTGTAATTTTAAAATAAACTTAATAATGCTTCAAACAACAGCTTTTTACCCGACTGCAAGGAAAGGGATATGTTTTTCGCGCCTATCTTTGTATGTATGTAATATTCTTTATTCCCTCATATCTTCCAAACCACTCGATGGATTTCTTCAATTAAGGTATTGTTAGACTCGTCTCATTAGTCCAAGTGTTCTTAGATAGGTGACATAAAAAAAATATGGGGGCTGCTAGATTTCATTATTTAAGGTGAATTTGTTTTTATCTTCTTTTTCTCCAATATGGATATCAAATTAAAGGGCTCATAAGGTAAGGTAAGGTAAGGTATAACATCCCTGTATTACTTAAAATAATTATAATTAAAACCACATTTATCATTTTACTTCAAATATCTAATTGGCAAAAACTAAAAAGCTGTAAATAAAAATATACATAATATAAAATTTATTACATATATAAATATATATATATGTAATAAATATGTAATACATATTATAAAAATAAAAAAAACCGGCTGCTAACTAAAAAGATAAAAACAAGTTGACGAAGGACGTTTCATCCTTGCCGCGAGATGTACACTCGGAGACATATCTCCGACTGCATAATACTAGGTATAATCCTTAAAAATTTTTTGGAAAATCTTATTGAAATAGTAATTATTATTGATACAGAGACCGAATATATACCTTTTAGAATTTTTGTCTGTCTGTCTGTTTGGGAATGTATCACGAGAAAACCACTGGACAGATTTTGATGAAATTTGGTATGATTTTTCATTATTTTATATTAATGATGTTTGTTGGATGATAATCCAGGTCAACATATAGGATACTTTTACTGCGGGAAATATCACATCTCTGAGAAATCTTTAATAATCGTTAACTATAAGATCTTTGATTACTATTCTTTAACGATTGCAGAGTTACAACTTGTCTAATTGTAAGTTCCTAAAAGTCATAGCTCACAGGTCATCACTAAGATAAATAGTTTAACTGCCTCGGTGGTGTAGTGGCTAGCATATTCGGCTGCACACCCGGAGGTCCTGGGTTTGAGTCCCGGCTCGGGCCAAGTTTAGTTATTGAGTCTTTCTGTATAGTAACTCTCAGTAACAGCCCGGAGTTGGGAAGTTGGCGGTGTTTCACCCCCGTGTCTCGGAGAGCACATAAAGTCGTCGATCCTGCGCCTTAACTCTCACCGGTCGTGTCTCGCGTCGTCCCACCGGAGTATGAGAGTAACAGGAATAGAGAGTGCACGTTGTGTCTGCGCGTACACTTGAGCACTATAATATCTCCTGCGCAGTTGGCTAGTCTCAATGAGATTGGCCGCCGTAGCCGGAATCGGTCTGGACAACATCATTATCAAGATACATATTATTATACGAGTATATGTTTCAAAGTTGACTACCATTAATTAAGGCGTTAAGAAATCAATGAATAATAAACGCACTCATTTTTCATGTGAACAAAGATTACAATATGTAACTTGATCTTTACATAAGTATCTCTAAGAGAAAAAATATATTTTTTATAAAATATGTAAATCTCGCGGCAAGCTTTTGATATCATATAAATTGTCTAATGTAATAAATTGATGCGTTTGATTTAAATTAAAGTTAAGTGAAGGCTTGTTTTAAAAATGTTTTCTTACTATTAAGTTTCTATATAAAAATAACAAAAACATGGTAAAACCCCATGACTCATGGGATATACAGTAAAAGACCTTTGGAATAGTTTACGATTTATTATAAGCCTTGACTATGTCGGCCATGAAAGATTTCTATTTAATCTGACTCATCGACTTATTAGTAAGGTAACTTCACAATTATATTTCTTATTCAATTCGAAGAATTACCACAAACAATTAAAAATATTTTTTAGCATTCGCCCACTACTGTGATTGCGTAGTTTAACTAGAATCTGTGGTCTTAAGGATCTTAGCGCAATGATACTATTGACCTTTCCTCAATAAATATGATGGCTATATGATGAAAACGATCGTTTAAATCTGACTTTTGTTTCAGAGATTTGTGTGTTCAAACAAACAAAAAAACAAACATTCTTTTCAGCTTTATAATATTATTATAAATATTTTTTTGAATAAGTGTTCCACTAGGAACAGTTCTGGATACATGATTCTTTCTTATTTTCATATTTGATGTAATAAATTATGTTGAAATAGCTTTTGCATATTATTCATAAAAAGTCGCGGAATTTTCAGTAGGATATTTGAATAAAAACGTGTTACATAAATAAAAATGTGTGGAGTTAGAAAACATAAATTCTCACGTAGGATCGTTATCGTTTAA